AGAGAAAGACTAAATTCCATGAATCAATAATTTGTTTCAATTGTCTTGGTTCTGTTTACTATCTACATCATGTCTGATGAGTCTTAACTTATTAATGTTGGACATCCTCTGCTTTAAATCTCTGTATAAGGCTCTGAGTGAACAAGGCCTGTGTTTACTTTGACTTCAAAGAGAATTAAGCATCTGCAGAAGCGTTTTCCAGACTGAGCTGGACTTTATTAGCTCTGCTGTCATAAGTTCAGGAAAAAAAAAATCACCACATTGTCTAAATTTGAGACAAGAGACCCTTCATTTAATATATCTCATATTTTGTAAAACAATATTATTCATATAATGCTGGTATCCTATGTAATATTGCAGTTAACGCTAGCCTAATAACTATTAAATATTTGGTATTACCATTACAATATTGGCCTGTTGATTTTTAGTACTGACAGAGCTGCCTGAAACATCTACTGTTTACAACATTTGTTCTAGCTAAAGAGATTTGATAGAATTTGCTAATCAACTGCAACCACTTCCCACCCATAAAATTGATGCAAAGAAGGGAAAAAACAGCTAGTGGGATCCAAAGACATAAACACTTTTACTTATAACTCTGTAAAGAGAAATCCCTCTCTCTCCATATGGTTTTCTCTTGGCTCTTAATCATCTTTTCATTGGCTTCCAGCTGGCTGTCTCACTATCAGCTAGCAGTATCACTAGCAAGACCAACTTGTTATGCCAAAGCCAGGCACAGAAAGATGAGAGCTGCAGAGTAGCACTATTGGATGCAGCACTCTACCAGGGGCAAATCTAGCATAAATGATGCATGGCGGGGTCATTTCACTTGCCTCAGCAGAGCAACCACTTCTGCATTCCCAAAACACAGCAGCAGGTCTGCGTTTGCACTTTTTAGGAGTGGGAGTGAAGAACGATTACTACAATTGAAGCTACGGGGAAATTCTGCAGGCAGAAGTGTAATTACCTGAGTGGGAATTCTGGCTGAAAACCCAAACCTCTTTCGCTCCTTAAATAGAAACAAATGCTGTGCAGTCACCATGGAGAGATTACGTACAGCATTTGGATCACATGCAGCACTGAAATACAACACACACACAGAAGAGCCAGCCACAGAGCTGGTTTGGTGCTGCACAACCCACAGTCAGCTCTCCATTGACTACAGCCACCCAGTCAGTGGCTCCCCTTCTGGCCATCTTCCCCTTCCCAGTCCTACAAGTATTAAGCTAGATGTCAGAACTTGGGCTCCACATTAAAGGCCAGCTCTGCAAGCTGTTTAGCCTGTCTGGGAAGTACCTAAAGCCTGACATGGAAGAGCCTGAGATGGGAGACCCGACAAATTTATCCACTACCCCTCAGGTGAGATTTCAAATTGGGAATAGAAGAAAACCCCAGGGAAAGAAGCATCACATAGTGCATGTCTGTACTTTGTACAAGTACTTTGATTTAGCTAAGCAACCAGTCTTTGAAGTGCAGCAGTTCCCACATGGTCTGCAGAGGCTTTCATTTCAGTTGCAAAATTTCTCAGTTCCAGTCTGTGTCCAGCATCTCTGGTTTCTAGGCACCTTACGTAGCCAGGCCCACCTCCTCATCTCCCTCCCTATCCCTTCTCCCTGCCCACTCCGCAACTCAGCTCACTTGTCTTCCCTGCCCACCAGACTCAACCCCAGCTGCAGCCCCCATCTCCTAGGGTGGATTTTTCCCCTTCACTCCACCACCCATGGCTCTAGCAGACAGCTTCCTCCTCAGGGCTATGGCAGCACCCTGGGGGTCAGTCACCAGAGCACAGGGAGACCGGGCACCCTTTGCCATCTTCAGGCACAGGCACGGTGTGGGCTGCCGTCTTTCAGAGTCCTTTTGGCCTCAGCGGCTACTTGTGCTCACTAAGAATCAGGGCACTTCCTCTGTAGCTGCCCAACTATTCAGTCCTATTTTCAAAGAGAAACGTGGCTGCTCGGAGTCCCTGAAAATCCACCCTGTCGCCTTCTATTGTTCGAAGTCAGTAGGAACGTTGTCAGACTAAAAATGTCAGAAATTTGCCTCTCTCCTTCAAATCAGCCAAGCTTTGTTTTGTTAACAACTTCAGCCAACCTCCAAGCCTTAGGAGAGTGCTTTGTATCTGCGGACATGTCAGGCTGGTGATACTACATGGGAATCTTTCACTTACCCAGACCAGCAAAGTGTTGCTGTGTATCAGGAATG